TGGCCTGGTACCGCCCATTCATCTGCTCCACCACAGTCCCGCTCTCATTGGGGCCCATCGGGGCTGGCAGTGCCTCCACTGCAGCCTGCTGCCAACGCTGTGTTGCCAACGCCCACCATGTTCTGTGCTGCCCCCTGGTGATCAGTGCACGTCATAGGGAGCGGTTGAACTCCCCGTCAAACTTCCAGTCGAACAATTTGCATATTAAGCTTTTATTTTATAGGATAACCAAGATATGGAAGCAACCTAGGTGGCCATTGACTGACAAATATATAAAGAAATTGTGGTACATATATACAATGGAATATTACTTGGCCATAAAAAAGAATTAAATCTTAGGATTTGCAACAACATGGATGGACCTAGAGGGTATCATGCTAAGTGAAATACATCAGACAGACAAAGACTAATACCATATGATTTCACTTATACATGGAATCTAAAAAAAATACAACATAAAACAGAAGCAAACTCATAGATTCAGAGAACAAACTGGTGGTTGCCAGATGGGAGTGGGTTTGGGACCTGGGTGAAAGGAACCCTGGCCGGGTGGCTCAGTTGGTTGCAACATCATCCTGTACACCAAAAAGGTTTTGGGTTCAATTCCCAGTCAGGGTGCATACAGGAGGCAATGGATCAATGTCTGTCTGTCTCTCTCTCTCTCTCTCTCTCATCAATAAAACATATCCTGGGGTGGGGATTAAAAAAGGGTGCAGGAATTAAGAAGTACAATTTTGCAGTTACAAAATAGCCACATGGATGTAAAGTGCAGCATAAGGAGTGTAGTCCATAATATTGTAAGCTGTCAGGTGGTTACTAGACCTATTGCGGGAACACTTCGTGAGTTATATAAATATCTAACCACTATGCTGAACTCCTGAAATATCATACTGAATGTCAACATAACTGAAATTTTAAAAATTTGAAAATAAAACTCAATACAAAAACAAACCATCCAATTAAAAATAGGAACAAAAGACTTGAATAGATACTTCAAGAAAGAATACAGATGGCAAATAAGCACCTCATAGATGTTCAACACAATTAGTCATTAAGGAGATGCAAACCAAAACCATGAGATACCACTACACACCTAAAAGAATAGCTAAGCTTGAAAAGACTGACCATACCAAGTGTTAGTTAAGTATCTGGAGAACCCAGAACTCCCATAGCCAGCTGAAGAGAATATACGGTAAACTATACCAATCACTTTGGAAAACAATTTGGCAGTTTCTTAAAAAATTAAACATACACTTACCCAGTCGATCCAGCCATTCTACCTCTAGGTATTTATGCAAAATAACTAAAAGCATTTGCCCAAATAAAAGCATTTATACATGAATGTTCACACAGCTTTATTTGTAAAAGCCAAAATAACACCAAAATCCATCAACAGGTGAATGGATAAATCAACTGTATATTCATGGAATGATTTATACCTGCAACAACATGGATGAATTTCAAGATTAATTATGCTGAATGAAAGCCAGGTTTAAATAAAAATGTATAAGCTGTATGATTCCATTTATATTACTACAATATTGTAATTTATAATAAGAAATATATACTTGGTCTTTATTCCCGTTTTTGACAAAGAGCTCCTAAAACCCTTGGAATTTCTTATTCTAAACCTGGAATCGTGATTAAGAGTCATAATTTTTAGGAGCCGTGTGCGCTCTTCACCCAGGGTGGGCCCGACCAGAGCGCGCAGGGGAGGTGGGCAGCCCACTCGCTGTGGGGCTCCGGAAAAAAAAGAAAAAAAAAGAGTCATAATTTTTATATGTGTAACAATCCCCTTTCTACCTCACCTAAGTATATTAATGAGGTGACTTTTGGAAGGACCCTAAGTATGGGGGCTGTGCCAGGGGAACCGGCCATTTGATTAGAGGGTTGGGCCATTCAGTCACACCCACCCCCAACTGAGGGGCGGGGAGAAGCACTGGAGATTGAGTTTAACACCAATGGTCAATGATTTACTCAATCAGGCCTATGTAATTAAGCCTCAATAAAAATAAAAAAGGATTGATGCTGAGAGCTTCCAGGTGGTGAACCAGAACACATCCTTGTACCAGAAGAGTGATGCACCCGAAACTCCACGAGGCCAGCAGCTCTGTGTTAGGGACCCTGCCATCCTTCGTCCTATGTGCTCCTCATCTGGCTGTTCATTTGTATCCTTTAACGTCCTTTGTAATAAAGCAGCAATCTAGTAAGTAAACTGGTTTCCCGAGTTCTGTGAGCCATACAAGCTAACCAACCAAACCATTCATTGTAGGGTGTCATGGGCACCTCTCAATTAAAACTGAGTGGAGCAGAGGTGAGTCTCGTGGGACAGAACCCCACCTGTGAAATCTGATGCTATCTCCAGGTAGAAAGATATCAGAACTAGGACACCCAGCTGGTGTTGCCAAATTGCTTGTTGTATAGAAATCCCACCCAGGAGCGAGGCAGTATTGAAGTATTGAGAGTACAGGAGACACACGAAGGAGTGTTTCTCTTTCACAGTAACATTCTGGGAGATGCAAAGTAATCTGCAGTGACAGAAGGAGATCAATGGCTGCCTGCAGGTGGGGGAGAGACAAGGGGGTGGGGTGGAGGGGAATGACAAAGGGCCATAAGGAAACTTGTGGGTAATGGTATGTCACTATTTTCTTTGTGGCTATGGTCTCATGGGTATATGCATATGTCAGAACTTACACTGTATATTTTTAAATAGTGAGAATTTATTGTATATCAATTATGCCTCAGTAATGCTGTCTAAAAGTAGATCAATGGAGGTGGGTAAAAGAGCAAAAGATAAATCAAGAGATCACTGAACATTCATTTAATGTTTAGATTCTAACATGATGGTCAAGTAAGAAATAATTGTTAACCACTAAATATCACAACAGAAGAAATAGATATAAAAAATAAACTTAGGAACTACACAGGCACAGTTCCAAAAGAATATTTACAGAAGGCACAGTTAATGGCATTATAAAAACAGCAAGCAGAAATGCTAACTCAATTCCTTAACCCCTTCCCCAATAATTTTTTTGTTAAAAACGTTTCTTTTTCAGACTAATTTTTTTATTTTGGTTCTATATAGTATTTTTGATGCTGGTTATGAAAACAGTTTGTAATTATTTTTTCTTCCCATTTTTGTGGTTAAGAATAGTATTTCCTCAGAAAGTTTCTAGATGAAATTATTTAGAATGGTACGTATGTAGCTGGTTTTTGAAGGTAAAGTTTTTAGACGAGTATACTCGTCGACGACTGAAAAAAGAACATTTTGTGAAAACGTGTATACACGTTTCTGCCGGGGAAGGGGTTAAAAAGGTTTTCCTCCTACAAAATTCCCTTATCTGAAGGGAATTTGTCCCTACCAACCTATCAGAGAGGGTACCACTTCAAACAGTCTGAACACAGACAGCTCTTCTTCAAGGGGCCTGGCACTCTGGCACAGCAGCCAAACAATCCCCTAGGGAAGTGGATGGAGCAACAAGCAGAAGCCCCAAGTTCTTCAAGAGCTGGCCCTGGGGAGGTCATTTAATCCCACTACACCCAAGTCCTTATTTAAAATACATAGACAAGAATATCTGTCTGCCTACAGATATACTGTGATGATATACTTGAAAGCCATAAAGTGGAACACAAACACTAGACACCATTCCTATGAAAAAATAAATATTTACTTGATAAAAAATTTCACTACCTCCCTTTTCACTTTAATTAGATAAGATCAAGAAGCCAGTTATCAAAACTACAGTCAGCCAGTAATCACACTGTGATCAATATGAAAAGCTCATAAGCTGTTTACTATATTATTACTTATAATTTGTAATCTATACTAAAAATTTATTAAATCTTTGCCCTTTTAAATAAAACAAAAAAGGTTACCTCCTTATTCACAGTACAATAAACATGACTTACATTTTACAAACATAATCTTAAAATTAAGCCAACTGCGTATTTTTTAATATAAAATACATCAGTAGTATTTTAACACTTACTAAGGAGCAATGACTTTCTAAACAACACTGATCTCAAAGAATTTTAGAAATTCAAAAAGAATTTTTAGGTACTCAGAATATACCTGTTATGACCTATGATATCAAGGTTTCATTCTCTAAAAGCTCCAGTTTTTGTTTCTAATTACCTCGTTACCCATAAATTACAATCTTTAAAAAAAACTAGCTAGCATCTTTTCTTTTTGTTAAGAAAGATATAGGACATATTTTTTCTATCTTATTCTTTTGCATCAATTATTTTTTATTTTACTTTTTTAAACATTTTTATTGATTTCAGAAAGCATGGGAGAGTGAGAGAGAGATAGAAACATCAATGATGAGAGAGAATCACTGACCAGCCATCTCCTGCACACCTCCCACCAGGGATCAAGCAAGCCCACAACCTGGGCATGTGCCCTGACCAGGAATCAACCGCAACTTCTGGTTCACAGGTCAACTTCAGGTTCACAGGTCAATGCTCAACCACTGAGCCACACCCTGCCAGGCTTTATCAATTATTTGAGAATGGCATTCACCAAACAAATTAACAAGGAAAATCCAAAATGTGTAAAAAATAAACTTGTTTCTAAATTAAACAAAGCATAAGATACAAAATTAAATGACTGGTTCAGTGTGTAAAGAAACCACCGTTACCATATCCTAAAATAGCAAGTCAAACCATGTGAAATTACCACTTTTATTGGTCAAAAATAGGCAAATTTTGTCAATTTCATATGAATGAACAAAACAAAATAAGATCAAGTCAAAACAGCAGTAAAGCTGTGGGATCTGCCAACTGTTCTCTAACATACATGCTACTAAGCTTGAGTTTCTGTGTTTTTATAAACAAAAAAGCATCCTGATGGCAATACTTCTGACAACTAGAAAATGTGTTCTTGGAAGTTAAGATAAATTAAATGGCTATTTTAGTTAACAATTCCCAATTGTTTGAGCCATGAGAGCAGGAAGAGTAATACAAGATAGTGAAATATCTCAAATTTGTAACTTATGTACCCGACCTCGAATCAAGTCTGGCATCCTATGAGTTCCATTCTTCTGAACATATTCCCACAATAAAACACGATCACCATCAAAGAGGATCAGTCAGGGTACTAGGTAACTTCATAGAAAATTACCAAAGAAACAAAATCATAAAGCTAATATTGGTATACCAGGTAAAGATGACAAATGAGAACATTTTATACACATAAGCATTTTCTATATATTACGTCATTTACATCCACCTACAACTTTTTACATGTTGGCACTGCCACCACTTAACAGATAAAGAAATTAGGGCTCAAAAAGTAACTCATCTAAAATGACATGATTAGTAAGTGTAAACACTTAAATTCAAAACCAGTTCATTCAGATATCAAAGTCTTTGGGGTTTGTTTGTTTTTTAGGTATAACTGACATATTAGTCTCAAGGTATACAACATAATTCAATATCGGTATATAGAGTTGATCCTTGAACAATACAGGAGTAGGGGCACCAACTACACACCCCATAGTCAAAACCCCACAGTTAACTTAAGTTGGCCCTCTGCATACCAGATTCCCAACTGTGGATGGAAAATACATTTGCCCCTTGAACATGTGTGTGTTTCTACATGTAAGTGGACCTGCACAGTTCAAACCCATATTGTTTAAGGGTTAACTGTATCGTAAAATGATAATCACAGTAAGTCTAGACAACATCCATCACCATATATGGTTATAAAAAAGTTTTTTCTTGTGATGAGGATTTTAAGTTCTACTCTCAACAACTTTCAAAAACGCAATACAGTATTAGTAACTATAGTCACCATGCTGTAAATTACATCCCCCAGACTTAATTATAACTGAAATTTGTACATTCTGACTGCCTTCACCTATTTCTCCCACCTCTGGCAACCACTAATCTATTCTTTGTATCTATGAACTTAGTTTTTGTCATTGTTGCTATTATTGTTTTTAAATTGCACTTTTAAATGAAATCCTTACTTGTCTTTTTCTGACTTACTTACATTATCACTTAGCATAATGCCCTCAAGTCCATCCATGTTGCCCCAAAGGGCAAGATTTCCTTCTTTTTTATGGCTAAATAATATTCCATTGTATATATACCACATCTTCTTTATTCACTCCTCCATCGATGATGAGCAGTTAGGTTGTTTTCATATCTTGGGTATTGAAAATAACATTGCAATGAACATGAGAGTGCAAATATCTTTTCAAATTTGTGTTTTCATTTTCTTCAGAAAAATATCCAGAAGTTGAATTACTGGATCATACAGTAGTGCTATTTTTAATTTTTTGAGGAACCTCCATATTGTTTGCCATAGTGGCTGCATTGTTTTACACTCCCACCAAGAGTGCACAAGGTTCCCTTTTCTCCACATCCTCACCAACACTTGTTAATTTATATCTTTTTGACAGCAGCCATTTAAATAGGTATGAGCTGATACCTCATTATGGTTTTGACTTGCATTGCCCTGATGATTAGTGATATTGAGCATCCTCATGTACCTGTTGACCATCTGTCTATATGTCTTCTTTGGAAACAATGTCTACTCAGATCCTCTACCCCATTTTTTAGAAAGAATGTTTGGGGTTTTTTTTGCTATTGATTTGTATGAGTTCTTTATATTTTTTTACATTAACCCCTTATCAGATATACGATTTGAAAATATTTTCTCCCATTGAGTAGGTAGCCTTTTCATTTTGTTGATGGTTTCCTTTGCTGTGCAAAAACTTTCAATCTGATGTAGTCTCATTGTTTATTTTTGCTTTTATTGCCTTTGCTTTGGAGTCAGACCCAAATTTTATCTCCAAGACTGATGTCAAGAAGCTTACCACCTATGTTTCCTTCTAGTTTTATGGTTCAGGTCTTTAATCCTTTTGTATTAATTTTTGTGTATGGTGTAAGATAGTAGTCTAGTTTCACTGTTTTGCATGAGGCTGTCCAGTTGTCCCAACACCATTTATTGCAGATACTATCCTTTCCCCCACTGTGTGTTCTTGGCTCTTTTGTTGTAAATTAATTGACCGTAAAGTATGGGTTTATTTCTTGGCTCTCTATTCTGTTCCATTGATCTGTGTCTATTTTTATGCCAATGCCATACTGTTTCGATTACTATGGTTTTGTAATATAGTTCTTTGGTATGTGTTTTTTCAAGAGTGCTTTGGCTATTTGGAGACTTCTGTGGTTCCCTACAAATTTTAGGACTTTTTGTGTTATTTCTGTTTAAAATGCATTTGGAATAATTCCTCCCATCCAATTCAAAACCAGTTTTCTCTAATGCCATTTATTATTATTATTTTTTAAAGGAGAGAGAGATAGAAACATCAATGATGAGAGATAATGATTGATTGGCTGCCTCCTGCACACCCCCTACTGGGGATCGAGCCCGAAACCCAGGCATATGCCCTTGACCGGAATGGAACCTGGGACCCTTCAGTCCTCAGGCTGATGCTCTATCCACTGAGCCAAACCAGCTAGGGCTCAGATGCCATTTTTTTTTCCTTTTTAACCCTCACCTGAGGATATGCTTATTGGTTTTAAAGAGAGGAATGAGGGAAAAGAGAAAAGGGGGTGGGGGAGAGAAAGAGAGAGAGAGAAAACATCGATTGGTTGCCTCCAATACATGTCCCAACCTAGGTATGTGCCCTGACTGGGAATTGAACCTGCAACCTTTTGGTGTATGGGACAATGTTCCAACTAACAGAGCAACCCAGCCAGAGCAGATGCCAATCTTTTAATGTTTCTCCAATAAAAATCCTGTATCAGCAGCATCATTTGAGTATCCTTTGTCTGTTTGATACTCTGAATATTACTTTTTAAAACCTTCAGCAGTTCATCAAGACTTGATCCTCCAAAAGGCACAAACTTCCATTTATAAAATAAGTAAGTATGGGATGTAATGTACAACATGACTATAGCTAACACTGCTGTATGATTTGTAGGAAAGTTTTAAGAGAGTAAATCCTATGAGCTCACGTCAAAAGGAGAATTTTTTTTCCTTTTTTCTTCTTTTTATTTTTATTATATCTATATGAGAAGATCAATATTAGCTGAATCTATTATTGCCGGGAGCTGGTCCATCCTTGCTGCTTGACACAGTCGCTGCAGGGAAGAAACATCTGCACAGCATATGTTTCAAGGGACCTGGTGTATATGGCATACTGTTCTTAATATGTTTGCTCACCTTCTTGGCGCTGTGTGTTTTAACTAAGGTCACCTCTCTGAGAAAGGTTATTTCCCCAGGTAGGGATTTTCCCCTGAAGTTAGGGAGGGAATAAAACCCCTTAACTAAGTGCCAGGCCTACAGAACCTGGCTGGAGAACCTGGAGAACCTGGCTGGAGAACCTAGCAAGAGAACATGGACACAGAACTTGGCTGGAGATCCGGACCAGAACTTGGCTAGAGATCCTGGCTAGGCTGCTGATCAACTGAACGCTGTCTCTTTGTCATTCCTTCTTCGCCGACTCCGTCCACACCTTTGGGGACCCCTGGACCTGCTAGGGTTGGACCCCAGCATATTATGATAATCATTTCACAATATATGTACATTACACCATCATGCTGTACACCTTAAACTTATATAGTGATGTATATCAATTATTTCTCAATAAAACGATAAATAAAGATTATTATCCTTTTACAAATGATGGGAATGAGAATCAAGGATTTAAGTGGGTTTTGCTCAAAAACTTAAGACTATATTTTTTAGTATTTGAACATAAAATTTTCTATTAATGGCTAAACTTACATTTCCTCTACTATGCTACTCTGCCCTACCAAACATACAGCACTAATTGATAAAACCACTAATATGTAATTAAAGTAGGAATGCACACAAGTATTAAATTATATATTTGTATAAATTTGTAAGCATTCTACTTATGCTGAAAAACTGTTCTATGTCAAGAGACCTAGAAATTATTCTAGTAAAACCATCTAGAGACACTGTCTTGTCAAATAACTATCCCAGGCAATTGGAACCAGTACTTGAGATTTCCTCAATTCTATACTGCTAACCATCATAAAAATAAGAAAGTATTTGAAAATTATTTAGCAGAAACCAATAAGCATAATATATGACTTATCTAGCTAGCTAGCTAGCCAGCTAGCTAGCTATATAAAAGGCTAATATGCAAAGTGTCCCCATGGCAGTTCCACCAAGAGACTGGAAGTTTGATCACTTGCTATGACATGTGCTGACCACCAGGGGGCAGCACGGAACAAAGGAAGGCCTTGATCAGTCCTGATCGCCAGCCAGCCCTCAGGACCCTACCCATGCATGAATTTTGTGCACTGGGCTTCTAGTATCTATAATAATAAAAGCATAATATGCCAATTAAACCAGACATCCTTCTGGATGACCTTCTGGGCAAAGTCACAAGGGCCAAGGCAGAGGTGGCCACTGCGGCAGTGGGGGAAAAGGCAGCTGTCACAGCAGCGGGGGCCAAGCCCCTTGCACAAATACCATGCATCAGGCTTCTAGTTATTATATAAAAGCCTAATATGCTAAGTGTCCAACTGATCAGTCAACTGTTCAGTTGACTTCTCAACCAGTCACTATGGCATGCACTGACCACCAGAGCGCAGAAGCTCCAACTGTTAGGTTAGCTTGCTGCTGGGGTCTGGCCGATTGGGCGAGACCGGACAGACATGCTCTGGAGCACTCCAGTGATCCCTCTCCAGCCAGCCAGCCCCAATTGGCTCTGATGGGTGCTGGGCAAGATGGCCCCAATTGGGACTGGGCAAAACGGGCTGGACATACCCTGAAGGCCTCCAGCGGTCCTTCCCCAGCCTCTAAAATATTTCTTCTAATTAATTGCCTTTCATAGTGCACGAATCCGTGCACAGGTCTCTAGTATTATTATACTAGAGGCCCAATGCATGAAATTCAGGCAAGGGGCTTGGTCCCTGCTGCCACAGCAACTGCCTGGGCCCCCACCAATGCAGGGACCAGGGCCTCTGGCACCTCTGCATCAGCCTCCTCGTCTAAGTAGCATATTACACTTTTATTATTATAGATAAAACATGCCAATGCATTCTAAGATAAAGACAGCAAGGAAACAAAACAATCTAAACTCATCCAAAGCCAAATAATAGTTATAATGAATTTAACAAATAATTTTGTTTGCCCTCCTAGGATTAAGAGGATATCTTGATGTTGTTTCAGATAGTCTTTTTCTTTATATTAAAAATATAATATATCCTTTGTCTGTTGAGTATCCCTTTGTCTGTTTGAATGCCTTCCAATTTCTTTTTTTTAAATATGTTATTGATTTTTAGAAAGAGAGGAAGGAAAGGAGAGAGATATCAATGTGAGAAACATTGATTAGCTGCCTCCCACATGCCCCCTACTCAGGGTCAAACCCAAAACACAGGCATGTGTCCTGACTTAGAATCAAACTGGCAACCTCTCAGTGCATCGAACATGGAATGATGCTTTACCAACTGAGCCACATGGGCCATGGCTGTCTTCTACTTTCTTTTTTTTTTTAATTTATCTTTATTATTGAGAGTATTACAGAAGTCCTCTTTTTTCCCCCACTGACCCCCTCCAACCCCCCTTCCTATCTTACCCCCAGGCCTTCACCAACCTATTGTCTGTGCCCTAGGTAATGCATATCCTATATAATAAAAGCCTAATATGCTAAGTGTCTACAACTGGAATGACCACTAGACCAGTCACCAGGAGGTGCACTGACCACCTCTTCGTCCCTCCCCCAGCCTGCAGGCTCTGATCACAGCATGGCGAACAGGAACCACGGCAAACTGAGGTGAGTGGCGGGGGGGGGGGGGGGTG